CTGGCAATCAGGGCTCATTAATGGACTCACCATAAGCCATGGAAGGATATAATGGAACGTGAGAGGAGAGATGGAGGCTTAAGCATCTCTCCGGAGGATTTGCCTCTCCACCTCTCCTGGACTGTATCCAGTCGAGCCCCCGGGCTCAGGTGCCAGCCAACCACAAGCTTAACAGCTTCCCAGACTCAGCAGGTTCTCTGCTAGGTGATGAGAGGTCCACCTTTACTTCTCTCTGTTGGAGATTTGCCACCCTCTAGAAATGTGCTTTTCATGTTGAAAAGCATTATAGATTGGTAGTGTTGCCTAATTCCCCAAAGTTAGGGTCAGAATTCCCGATGACCTTGAACTATATGCCTCAGTTTCTCTTCTGGGAAACATGGTGGGATCCAGTGGGCCATCCAGAGGACTCTTAGAAGGCAGCTTCACATCTTTGATGCTTTTATGACAAAAAGATCTAGATAAATGGATTCCTAACTGCCCACAAGACATCTCCATTTGTATATGTCACTAGCCCTTCAAATTCTACATGTCCCAATTGTCTTTTCTCACAGATCTGTTCCTCCTTCTGTTTTCACCAGTGCCCCTATCATTTATTCCCTCTCCTATATTCAGAAGCTTAGTATCTTCCTGACTTGTCTCTCACTTTTCATATTCAATTGTCTACTATGTCTTGTTGTTTCCATCTCCACAAGAGTCTCCCTACATTCTCTCTACAGTCTTCTTCCTCCCATCCTTCTTCCCAGGCAGCCCCCACTGCCACCTTCCTATAAATCTCATTACCTTTTAAACTTCTCTTATCATAGGATCATAGATTTAGGGTCAGGAAGGGGCCTTCAAAGACACAGATGAGGAAACAGAGACCCAGTGAGATTAAGTGATATGGTTAGTAAGTGGCAGAGCAAAGGTGAGCTGGGTCTTCTGACCCCAAATCCAGTGGTCTGCACAATGCTACCTCCCAAAGGCAGGATTTCTTTCCCTTCCCAATATCTCTGCTCCTGGATAAAACCCCACATTCATGATGTCATATGGAAGGGACCAGGCTTGTTCCGTTTGCCCTCAGGGGCCAAACAAAGACCAATGCAAAAAAGATAAGGAGAGGCAAATTGAGATTTGATATAAGGGGAGGCTTTCTAATAGCTGGAGCTGTCCAAAAGGAAATGGACTGCCTTGGAAGATCTTGGGGTCTGTTTCATTTGAGGTCTTTGTGCAGGGATTGAGGACAACTTGAAGCATACATTGTAGTGTCCTCGTTCAGGTGTGAATTGGGTTAAATGACCTTTGACCATCCTTGCAACTCTGAAATTCTGTGATTTTGATTTCAAAGTGTCCTCTTTTCCTTTTCCCTCATAAAGTTCTTCCTTCTTTTCTTCCTTCCTTCCTCCCTCCCTTCTGTCTTTCCTTTCTTTCTCTTTCTTTTTCTCTTTCTCTTTCATTTTCTCTCTTTCTCTCTTTCCTTCCTTTCTCTTTCCTTCCCTCCTCCCTTCTATCCTTCCTTCTCTCTCTCTCTCTCTCTCTCTCTCTCTCATTACCTCAAATTCAATATATCCAATTTGCATCATCTTTCCTACACAAAAATTTGCTCTATGACCTGATTATTCCATTTCTGTTAGTGTTTCTATAATTTCCTCGGTCAACCATGCTCAAAACTTGATAGTCATCATTGACTCCTTCCTTACTCCTTCCTACCCTGACGTACACAGCAATCAGATGCCAAGTTCTTTTGGCTCTTTCTCTTTTCATTTTCACTGCCCTTTCCCTAGTTCAGACCCTCATTAGCTTTTCCTACTCTATTGAAATAGCCTCTTACCTGTCTTTGCTACCTCCAGGCTTTCCCTGCACCTGCAATCCATTCTCCACACTGCTGACAGATTAACCTTCTTCTTAATACACAGCTATGATCATCATACTCCATGGCTCAGAACCCTTCAATGGCTCTCCATTGCCTACTAAAGTCAATAAAAGATAGACTGGCATCCAAAGCATCCCACAAAGTGGCCCCAATCTACTATTCAAGCCCTCTTTCTCCTTCAGGTACTTTATTCTGAAGCCAAATTGGAATTCTCTCCTTTCTGTCTTTATCCCAGCTGTCCGCTATGCCCTCTCTCTCCATTATCTCCCACCTATTGAAATCCTACCTGTCCTTCAGGACCCAGCTCAAATGTCACCTCTTCCAAGAAACTGTCCCTGGTCCCTTATATATGCCTCAAGCAAAGTAATTCCCTAGTCCTATGAACTGACGTAGTAAACATGGTGACTAGTATGGAGTGGAGATGAGGGAGAAGAGGGGCAGGGACAATGGGCAAGAAATGCAATTACACAGAAGCTATTGCACAGAATGGATACACCCCCATGTTTTTCAATAACTCAGGTGCCATGGACGGGCTGCTAGAATGAGAGAGAGAGAGAGAGAGAGCCAGCCACTTACAACTGGAATGTTGGGGCTGAGGCCTTGTATGTAATCAACCCCCCCCTTTCTCTTTTCCTGCTGGCCTTTCCAGCTCCTGCAGCTCCTCTTTATCTCATCCTCGGATAATGGCATGTGCAGCCTGGAGGGATCAGACATCTCAGAGGGGAGATTAGTTTAATGGAACTGTGGATCTCCCCCTTCAGCAAGCCTGCTCTGCTTGTCGGCTTGCAGATAGATCTCTCAGTTGGTGTACTTGTTCCTATGTATGTTCGTGTTCTTTCTGTCTCCCCCCTCCTCCCCTCCCCTCTTCCCTCCTCTTCTTCTCTCCCCTCTGCTCTCCTCCCTTTCCTCTCTTTTCCTTTCCTCTCCTTCCCTTTCTTTCCCCTTCCTTTCTCTTCCTTTCTCTCCTCCTCCCTCCCTTTCTTCATCTCCTTCTTTCCACTATATTTTCTTTTTCTCCTTACTTCTCCTATACCTGGAAAAGCCAGGGAGTCATGAGAGCTGATGTATAAGGGAACTAACCACAGCCCTAGTTCTTGGGAAGTATTCTGTTCTGGGCTGAATCAGTTGATTTAAGGAAGGGGATCTCAACCTGAGGTCTTTTAAAAAAAATTTGTTTATTTTTATATTTTGATAACTATATTTCAGTACAATTTGTTTCCTTTGTCAGTCAATCAATAAACATATTTTAGGTACCTACTATGTCCCAGGCCCTGTGCTAAGTGCTACAGATAACAAAGAAAGGTAAAAGGTAGTCCCTGTTTTGTAGGAGCTCACAATCAAACGGGGGAAACAACATGCAATAATTACATACAAATAAGCCATGTGAAGGATAAATTGGCAATAATCCAGAGAGGGAGGGCACTAGAATTAAGAGGGATTGGGAAAGTCTTCCTGTAGAAGGTGAAAGTGTAGCTGGAACTTGTAGGAATCCTTTCTATTTTATGCATTAAAAATATGATTCTGAGAAGGTGTCTGTAGGTTTAGCCAGACTACCAAAGGGGACCAAGCCACCAAAAAAAAAAAAAAAAGATTAAGGACTCTTACTTTGGGTTCACTTTATAAAGAGGGAGGAACAATCACTAAGAATAGAACGTGTTGTGACTGTTCCAGACACCGTTCCTGACCTTTTACCTCTGCCATCCTCCCACAATTGACTTTCTTCCTGACCTGCCCTTTTGATGGGAAGTGGAGAACAGCCAGGAGCTAGTGGTGGGTCTCCGGGGAAATGATAATCCCTCCCTCTGGTCTGCATACCTGTCAAGTGCCTGAGCATCCTTAGGGATAAGACCCTATGTAAATAATTCTAGGTCTCTTAGGATTTTGGTTGCTAATATACCCAGGATACATCATTCTTGATGTACCTAGTACAGAGCCCTGAAGGGTGTTAGTCTAGGGGACAGGAAAAAAAAATGTCATCATATGATTTATGCCCTTCAGATGTTATTCCAGCAAAGTTATTAAAAATCCTCTCTCCTTCCAAAGCACCTTTTCCTCCCCAGAGAAAAGAGTATTAGACACATACGCATGCTCAGCATAGCCCCAGGAATACCGATCCATTTTTCCAACAAGGACTCTGAAATACAGTGAACAGAGCCACTTTGGCCCCTCAAACCAAACAAGGAACCCTAAAGTCCTCAGTTCACCCTTTATGCCCTTGGCCAGGGCTTCATAAAGCACTGAACACTGCACATGGTCTTATTCCATCCATCCCTACAAACATATCTTGTTCTCACTATTCCCACTGTCCCCACACCAAGTATGTAGGGAGATATGTGTGTGTATAGTATCTATCTATCTATCTATCTATCTATATGTCTGGGCATGTATATTATGTAAGTGTAGGTATGTATATGTGTGTGTATATGTATATAATGTGTAGATGTATATATACACACACATAGACACATACATATGTATGTATGTATGTGTGTATGTATATATATATTTAAATACACATACACACACATATACACACACACATCCACAAAGGCAGAAAATATAGTGGAATAAGTACTTTCTCTGGAATCAAAGAACCTGGGTTCAAATCCTAACTCTACTATTGACTATCTGAGTTACCTGGGCCAAGTCAGTTAATAACTTCTTTGGGATTCAGTTCCTCCTCTGAAATGAGGGGGTTGAACCAAATGGCCTCTTTGAAGGCTAAAGCTCTGATCCTCTGATCCTAATATATGCATTCCCTCTTCAATCTCAGTCTCTCTCTCTCTCTCTCTTTCTGTGTGTGTGTGTGTGTGTGTGTGTGTGTCACTATCTCTGTATGTCTCTATATCTGTGTGTGTCTCTGTCTTTGTCTGTCTCTGTGTCTCTGTGTCTTTCTGTGCCTCTGTGTCTCTCTTTCTTTCTATGAATTAATGGTCAGGTGGATGGATGGATGTTTACCTAGATCCCAATTCCTCATCTGTTAAAGAAAGGGGCCAATATAATTTCCTTGCCTTTTGATGTCAAGGCTCTAGGAAAACCATTGCAGAGACAGAGACTATTGGGGGGAAGGGAGGAAGGGACTAAATCTGGAGACATTCCCTTCATGTTTAACTTTACTTCCTCACCTGACCTTAGCTTTCTCTGCTCTCAGGATTGCCCTCAGCTGCTGCAAGTGGACAAGATCCTGGTGCCAGTGGAAGTGATCAAGCCCATTACCCTGAAGGCCAAGAACCTGCCCCAGCCGCAGTCGGGTCAGCGGGGCTATGAGTGCATCCTCAACATCCAGGGCACTGAGCAGAGGGTCCCTGCCCTGCGCTTCAACAGCTCCAGTGTGCAATGCCAAAACACCTCTGTGAGTGCCACACCATCCTCCTGTCCCTTCCTGACCCCAAGCCCAGAGCCACCTTTCCATTGTCTACCTTCCCTGGAGTCAAGCCAGATCTTCCCAGGAGGTGTCCTCCCAAACACCAAGAATTTAGGGGTGCCTCCTCCTCCTGGAAGGATTTTGAAGCAGGCTCCCTTCTTCTTCATGGCCCCCTTCATAGAGAGAGAGAGAGAGAGAGAGAGAGAAAGAAGGAAACATGGCTCTGTTCAAAACAATGTTTGTCGTTAATGACAAGGATAGTCTAAATGGGGTGGGGGCTACGGAGGCGAGGCAGAAGGAGGATGAAAGACAGCCCTAGGATTGATCGCCAGGACCAGAGCCCTATACATGTACAAATGATTTTACTATAACCATGACTGGACTCCCAGGAGAACCATTGCTGTTCTCCTCACTATACCAAGCATATGGAGGCCATTGCCGGCACCTTCCTGAAGCTCATAATTTCTCTTACCCAATCACCTGGATGGGCGAGAAGATACTTTTAAGGAAGCCAGGGTTGAGAGCAGGAATCCCATGCAAGATACCTTACTGGAGCCCCACACAGATCAGAAAGAACATTTTCCCAAAGCCATAGATGGTGTCCCTAAATTGGGTCGCGGTCCTCTGCCTCCCTTCAACACAAGGAGCAGCAGGTGAAAGATCCTGGTCCAATGGGCATTCTCAGAAGTAAAATGAACCAGGAGACCATCGGCAAAGAGGCAGTGAGGTGGCGAAGTGGGTAGAGCACTGGTGTTGTTCAGTCACGTCTGACTCTTTGTGACCCCATTTGGGGTTTTCTTGGCAGAGATACTGGAGTGGTTTGCTGTTTACTTTTCCAGCTCATTTGACAGATGAGGAAACTAAGGCAAATAGGGTTAAATGACTTGCCCAGGGTCACACAGCTACTAAGTGCCTAAGGCCAGATTTGAACTCAGGAAGATGAATCTTCCTGATTCCAAGCCCACTGCTCTATCCACTGCACCACCTAGCTGCCCAGAGTCAGAATGACCTGAGTCCAATTTGAACCTGAGGCACTTCCCGGCTGTGTCACCCTGAGCAACTCACTGAACTGCTGTCTACCTCAGTTTTTTAACCTGTAAAATGGGGTAATAGTCTTACTAGCTGTGTGACCCTGGGCAAGTCACCTAACCCCAATTGCCTAAAAAAAATGGGGTAATATTAACACCTACCTCCTAGGGTTCTTGTGAGGATAAAAATTAACTAATACCTTTACAATTCTTTGCAATCCTAAAAGTAAGAATCCTAAAAATCCTAAAAGTAAAAATCCTTAAAAAAAGTAAAAAATCCTGAAAGTATAAATGCTAGTTGTTATTATTTAGAACTAAAGGGTCTTTTCAGATCATCCAGTCTCATCCCCTCATTTGACATATAAAGTAACTGGGACCCAGGGAGGTGACTTACCCAAGGTCACACATACCATATGTAACATAGGTTGAGATAATCATAATGGAGCACTTCTTTTGAGTTCTGAGGATCTGGATTCACATCCTGGTAACTGAGTATCTTTGTAAATATGGGCAAGTCACTTAGCTTCCCAGACCTCAATTTCCTTATCTGTAAAATGAAGGGTTTAGAGGACCATTTATGGAGTCCTGAAAAAGAGGTGCTGGATCTCAAGATTCGTAATGAAACATACATTTTTTGGACTTGCAAAAATGGGTTTTCTTGACTATGCATGTTTGTTACAGAATTTTGTTATTCTTTTTTTACCCAATTTGGGGGCGGGAAAGAAAACAAATGCTTATTGATTGGGGAAAGTAATATTAAATTTAAAAAATAAAATAAAATGAAGATGTTGAACTAGGTGGCCTTGAAAGTCCCTTCTAGTTTGAGATCAATGACCCTAATGATTTGCTTTAGACTTAGATCCCTTATTTGTGAAATGAGAGGGAAGGGAAATGAACAAAATGGCCTCACTATCCTTTTCAGCTCCAAATCTCAGGACATATCTGACCTACTCATTCTACCTGCATCACAGGATTGTTGCTAAGATAGCACTTTATACATCTTCAAGAGTTATATAAATGTGTGTAATTACTGTTAGTGTTATTATCATAGTGGTATACAGAAGGGCCAGCACATTCATCCACCTGCTTTTCTATGTGGTTATCTCCTAGACTTCTGTCTCCTGACTACATTAGGCACCCCTTACTTAGCTATTTGTGTATCCACCCCACTATCTATCTTGTTTCCTTTGAGCCTAGCTTTTGACCTTCTTATCTGCCAATAAACCTCACAATCTTTCCATTTCTCCTCCTGTGTTTCCTTCCATCATATAGCATGGAGTGCTCAAGGAGAGAAAGATAGTAGACACATATCCATTCCCCTATCTGTCACTGGCTATCTGATTGGTAGGATCACAGTGACTACATTTGGGGTGTTAAGAATGGTTTGGGATTTGATGGATGATAGAGATTATAGAAACATCACAAAACTATTGATGGGAAGCAGTCAAAGAAAGAAACTGAGGCACAACCAGGGAAACTGACACAGGATCATGTGGCGTTGTAGGGTTCAAAGCCAAGAAATGACCCCACAAATCTTGAACGCTGAACACAAGCCGATGAACCAATTTCTATGGCTCTCTGTCTACTCACCCAGAGTGCTCGCTGGCTAAATCTTATCATCCTGCAGAAACTTGGAAAACAAAGAGGATATTAAACACTCCATATTTTTTCTTAAAGCCTGAGGCCCAGCGGAAGAGGTTTGGCTAAGAAGTGTCTCCCCAGCCGTAAAATCCCACATGGGGAGAAAAAAGTCTAGAGGGCATTCAGCTTTCAAGACTGCTGAACATGGATCCTTATTCTCTCATGGGACTAAACCCCTAAGATTAATCTCTCTAAACACTATCAAAGGTTCAAGGCTGAAAACCTGACCAGAGTAGAAGGCCTGAGTTCTGATGTCAGCCCCTCTGTCAGATGTTCTTCAGATAGGAACAAATCTCTCCTGGCCCACTGTTAGAACTAACAATAATGATTAAGATGTTTAAAACACTTATAGTCATACAGGCAATTCCATTTGATCATTGTACCAGCCCTGTAAGGTTTTATTATTATTCCCATTTTACAGATGAAGAAACTAAAAGATAAAATAATATACTCAAGGTCCCAGGGCTCATAAGGGACTGAGGCAGGATTTGAGTTCACATTTTCCTGATTCCAAAGTCTATCACACTCGCCAATATGCTACTTTACATCCCTTTCACGTGTGGTCTTAGCTGACCTAACACTCATGAAGATGAGACCTTTGTAAGTGCCATGTTCTGCATACTACATTAACCATTCCAGAAGCTACTAGTATAATAATAGTATGATTCTTGTTAAGTGACTTAGTCCCAAAGACTTGGATTATTTGCATCTTCTAAGAAGGCTGATAATAGCGGTGTGAAAGTAAATGCTTAACAGTCAGCTTTCTAGGGGAAAAAATGTACATAGGGTACACTTTTAAATTTAATCTGCATTATTAACATTTTATCCATCATTTTCTTAAGCCTGGATAATTAAGAAAACAATAAATCAAGCCCTGATGTGTAGCCTTTGCTGATTTCCAAGTTGTAAGTGCTCACACTTAAAATCTAACAATCAGCAAGAGCCTGGTATAAGCTGAGTACAGCATACCCCTGCAGTAGATCATGTTGAATCTGCTATTGTTCCGTGGACCTCTTGACTCATCTGCTGTGTTTTAAATACCAGGGGCATTTGGGAAATATAGGGGAAGCAGCCTCTCTACGTTTCTCAAATGCCCCTGGTATTTAAAACCCTGCAGATGAGTTGAATAGTGGAAAGAATATTGGCACGGAGGTCAACAGAACTGGATTATGGATTCTCGGCCCCCAGCTAGCTGTGTGATCTTGGACAAATCATTTTATTTCTCTGGGCTTCTGCTTATTCATCTATAAAATGAGGGTATTTGCTGAGGTGATTACCAAAATCTCTTCTACCTCAAATTCTTCGAATGAGCCCTCCAGTTACCACTAAGGAAATTGGCCTTAATATGGTAGCAAGAGAGCGTAATAATAACAACAGTAATAATGAGTCATGCAAGAGTTAAGACTTATCATTTGCCATGATTTCCTCTGCAGCCTTGGGTTTGCCCAGGTGTGCACGGGTGCTGCAGGCCTGTTATCCACAGGCTGAGAAAGAATCCAGCTGTGGCTCACATGGGCGCATCTGTGTGGCCATTTTTCATTTCCGGAGATCCAAGAGCTGTGTGTAATGAACATTCCACGTGGAGGAACTTTGCATCTGGAGGATGGATGCTATGACATAATGCAGAATCTTTCTCCTGCTCATAGACAGAGAATCAGTCAAGAAGTCAAGTCAATTAGCATTTATGAAATGCCTACTTTTGTGCAAGGCGTGGGTGCTGAGCTCTCCAGATACAAAGAAAGGAAAAGGCAGTCCCTGCTCCCAAAAAGTTCACAGTCTAGTAGAAGAGACAACATACAAAATCTGTCCTGCTAAGTTGTGGATTCTAAGGTGTGGGAGGACAGTTAATAGTAATACTGACATTTATCGATTGCTTTAAGTTTTACAAAGCACTTCACATACATTATTGCATTTGCTATTCACAACAATCCTAGGAATTTAAAAATAATATGCCCAATTTTACAGATAGGGAAACAGAGGTTCTTAATTTAGATTAAGTTACTCACCTATGGTTACACAGCCAGGCCTCACCAGCATCCAGGTCTTGCACTCCCTACCTTCACTATACCATATGATGTTGATACATGATGCCGTCGCAACCAAATTTCTTTCTTTCTCAGAATCTCTGTTTGCCCACAGGTAAAAATGGAGTGGTAACCTGGTCACTTCCCTAGCCTTTAGGGACACAGTACTGGAGATGGTGCCTCTACTACATGCCCTGTGGTCCTGAGAACTGAACAGATGGCTACTGTTTCTCAGATTTTAGAGTTTAGTCTTCTGACTTGAAGTGTATTTTATCCAGGAGCTTAGAGATTTTTTTTTGAGGCAGGAAGTTGGGAGGTGGAGAAGTGAAGAGACTGAGGGGAGAAGTCAAAGGGGAAAGAAGGGGAGGGACTTAAGTAGCAGAGGTGCTCCCTCTGTCTCAAAAATGGGAAAACTCTGATCTAGGCTTTCCCACCTAAGGTCATACGTAGATTAAGCCATGCAGAAGCCCAATCCTGGAGCACCTGACCTTGATTGAGATGCTTAACCTCCTTGTTCCTAAGGTCTCAGGGGAGCTGTAACAGCCTCCTTGGCCTTGGTGGGGTTGTTCAATTAACTGTCCGATGATTGCAAAGAGCTATATAAATGCTAAGTGGTCTATAAAGGATGAGGGGAGGGGAGGGGAGGGGAGATAGGAGGCAGGGTTAGAAGGTGAGAGGCCTTCTAGCTCCCAGACTGTGCTGTTAAAGAGATCCTGTACCCTGAGTGGGAGAGGCAGCTGTGGGACTGGGACATCTACAGAAGAAAGAAAATGTTCCAAAGGAAAATAACTTTCCTGTAGAATTTGCTGTGACCCTTGGGGTTAATGAACTTATCTGAGTTTATTTTTACATTTATTGCCCCCGAATGAGGAGGAGGAAGAATTCTTGTTTCTTGTTCCTTGAAAAGGATATCTATCATCTATCTATCTATCTATCTATCTATCTAACTATATGTGTATATATGTATATGTATATATATATATATACCCACACATATATACATATACACACATATATATATAATTATATATGTGTATATATC